AAGAGCCCTTGGCAGTTTACCGCAGGGCGGGTCATACTACCTCACATATAACTACTGATGTTTAAAACAGTTATAGATAAGGCTGGTTTAACCAGAATTTAGACATAATAACAATATCATACCTGTGATATTGAATCGTACTGCCGGTTTACGATACCTGTGCAGTAAGGGTGAGCACCCAAAGCTTTAGGATCCAAGACTTCCAAGTGCTTGATATCATCATGTATGGGCGACTTGTCGCTTCTCATTAAGCCGGGTAATAGAAACCATGCGTAAGGTTCAAATATGAGATGTGAGAGTGAAGGCCGCATGGCCGGAATCACTTTAAACCAAAAAGCAAGATAGTATCAAGAAGAACCGGAAAAAATCTTCAAAAACTCAAGCCAAGTGAAAAAAGCGAGGCTATGCTTCGAATACGAGAAGGAAGCCGGACCAAAAGGGTTAATAGCTATGATTAGAATATGACCAGGAAGCCCCCAAATGGTTTTTGGCATTGCGCCGATCAAAGGGGTACTGACAGCTATGATTCGAATACGATCAGGAAGCCCCCTAGTGACCATAATAACTAGTGGCTATGATTCGAATACGATCAAGAAGCCGGACCAAAAGGGTTAACGACTATGATTCGAATACGACCAAGCCCCCAAGCGGGTTATGATGTTTAACGACTATGGTTTGAATACGACCAGGAAGCCGGACCAAAAGGGTTAACAGCTATGATTTGAATACGACCAAGCCCCCAAGTGATCAAAGTGTTTAACGACTATGGTTCGAATACGACCAGGAAGCCGGACCAAAAGGGTTAACGGCTATGGTTCGAATATGACCAAGCCCCCAAGTGATCAAGGTGTTTTTACGGCTATGGTTCAAATACGACCAAAAGGGTTTATAGCGTGACAAATATGAGCATCCAGGTTCCGCTATTGGTTATTGACCGGAGACGTGTCTCGGTCATGTCTACATAGTTCTCGAACCCGTAGGGTCCGCACGCTTAACGTTCGATGACGATTTGTATTATGAGTTATGTGATTTGATGACTGAAATTTGTTCGGAGTCCCGGATGAGATCACGGACGTGACAATGAGTCTCAAAATGGTCAAGACGTAAAGATCGATATATTGGAAGGCTATATTCAGACATCGGAAAAGTTCTGAGTGATTCGGGTATTTTTCGGAGTACCGGAGAGTTACAAGAATTCATCGAGGGAAGTATTGGGCCTTAATGGGCCATACGGGAAAGGAGAGAAGGGCCTCAAGGGTTGGCTGCGCCCACCCCCGCCCCCTCCATGGCAAGTCCGAATTGGACTAGGGAGGGGGCGGCGACCCCCTCTCTTTCCTCTCCCTCTCCTACTCCTTTCCTCTCTCCCCTCTTGGAAAAGGAAGGGGAATCCTAGTTGGACTCCCCCTATAGGCGCGCCCCTCCTAGGTCGGCCTCCTCCTCCCTCCTTTATATACGTGGCCAGGGGGCACCCCATAGACACACAAGTTGATCTTTTAGCCGTGTGCGGTGCCCGCCTCCATAGTTATACACCTCCATCATACCGTTGCGGAGCTTAGGCAAAGCCCTGCGCCGGTAGCATCATCATCACCGTCGCCACGCCGTCGTGCTGACGGAACTCACCCTCGGCCTCAACTGGATCAAGAGTACGAGGGACGTCATCGTGCTGAACGTGTGCTGAACGCGGAGGTGCCATGAGTTCGATACTTGGATCGGTTGGATCGCGAAGACGTTCGACTACATCAACCATGTTATTGAAACGCTTCCGCTTTCGGTCTACGAGGGTACGTGGACACACTCTCCCCTCTTGTTGCTATGCATCACATAGATAGATCTTGCGTGATCGTAGGAAATTTTTTGAAATTACCGCATTCCCCAAAAAACGATCCGCCTGTGCATCTCGTAGCATGTGTACATGTTCTTCACCGCAAACTTGAGGTGAGCTTCATCTAGTTTCCGCATCCAGGCCCTGTGCCCGAATGCAGGAATTTTCTTGGCATCCTCCTTCATCTTTTCGTAGTAGGGGTCGATGATGGCCGAGGCGAGGTCAACAAGGGATCCCTTCTCCTTCTTGATGCCCCAGACCCTGTAGTGGCCATGGATGTCGACAAGGTTCTTGCAGGCCAAGCCCATAACCTTGAGCGCTTTTACATCCTTGATGGTGTCCACCGTAGCGAATTTCTAGTCGGGGCTGTTGACAAACCTGGAGAAGCGCTCGCAAGGCCTTGTGGCCAAGGAGTAGTGGTATACAAGGACGTGATGGCGCACGCACAACTGGGCGACGACATCCTTCTGATCATACCCGGCATGGCTGTCGGTGTACCGGAGGTCGATGCCGACCACTTTATACTTGTCATCCTGAGCAAGCAACTGCTCCATGGTGTTGATGAAGTCCTCCACCACGGCCGGGTCGTTGGTGTACACCACCGAGAGGTCCTTCTCCCTCACGTGGGTCTCCACTTGATGCACGTCGAACTACATTCGAGCACCGCTAGATATCCTTTCTATATGTGTCGTCGTGGGTGTGCTTGTTTGTATTGTGGGGCGCGATCGAAAGGTTGAAGAGACTAAGGTTATAATGGCCGCGAGAATAAATGGGGAGGCCGGACTTTTTTAATAAGGTTATAATGAATTTGATGAACTTTTTTGAAAACAGTGAACAAAAATAGAATTTGATGAACATACTTTTAGTCCGAGGAAGAAATTTGATGAACATTTTTTTAAATCCGATAAAAATTATTTTGATTTCTAAGCTTTTTTTGAATTTTTTGAAAGAAAAAAATGCACACGCATTTGAAAAGAAAAATCATAAAAAGGTAAAATAAAAAGGGAAAAAGGAAAAGGAAAACAGAAAATAGAAAGGAAACCAAAAGGGAAAAGGTAAATTTAAAACGAAATTATAAAAATAAAATAAGTAAAAAGGAAAAATAGAAAAATAAAGAAAAAACGAAAAAGGAAAAAGAAAAAATAAAAACCTTACCAAAACTGGTGGAGAATAAACTGCATAATGGGCCGGCCCATATGAACGAGCGGGTAGCTCGGGGGGTGCGCGCGACCCACGCGCCAAATAGGAGCTGCCCAGTGGAAAGGGTGACCGTTCTGTTTTCTTAAAAAGTTCACGCACTTGCAAATGCCAAACCCTATTCGGCGCCTTAAGCGCCCGAATTAGGCGTTTCGGCAAACGGGCGCATACCCCCTCCCTGCGCGATGGGCCGGCCCATTCATCCCTATTTTTTGTTACAAATCGCAAAAAACTGCGCGCAGTGGCACAGATCCTTTTGATTGTTTTATTGCATCTTCTTTTCTTTTTCTTTTTCCTTTTTCCTTTCTTTTTCTTAAATGCATGCTTTTAAAAAAATCCAGTGAACTTTTTCCCAATTCGTGAACTTTTTATTCAAAATTGATGAATTTGAATTCATGAACATTTTTTGAAAATCCGTGAAGCTTTTCTAATTAGTGAACTTTTATTATCGAAATTGATGAACTTTTTTCAAACCCGTGAACTTTTTTCCCAAATTTGTTGAACTTTTTTCGAATTTGTGAACTTTTTTAACAAAATCGATGAAATATTTTTAAATCTGTGAATCTTTTGATCGAAATTGATGATCTTTTTTAAAACCTGTGAACTCTTTTTCCGAATTTGGTGAACTTTTTTCGAATTTGCGAATTTTATTAACAAATCGATGAACTATTTTTAAATCTGTGAACTTTTTGATCGAAATTGATGAACTTTTTTAAAACCCGTGAACTCTTTTTCCAAATTTGGTGAACTTTTTTCAAATTTGTGATTTTTTTTAACGAAATTGGTGAACTATTTTTAAATCTGTGAACTTTTTGATCGAAATTGATGAAATATTTTAAAAATTCCGTGAACTATTTTTCCAACTTTGGTGGAGTTTTTTTCGAATTTGTGATTTTTTTTAACAAAATCGATGAACTATTTTGAAATCTGTGAACTTTTTGATCGAAATTGATGAATTTTTTTAAAAATTCCGTGAAGTCTTTTCAAGTTTGTAAAAATATATTTATTGTTTTAGTCAAACCTTATCACAAAATACTTTTCAACCTTATCACAAATATTCTTCACTTTCTTCTTAACACAAATATTTATTGTTTTAGTCAAACCAGGCGTAACGAACATACAATATTTATTATGAGGAAGTCTGCCAAAGAGAAGAAACAGTCGTAACAAACTCTCCCGAAACAGCCGCACGAACGAACGGGAAACGTAATTCTACGTGTGCGCGCACGAACGAAGGAAGCAGTCGAGAAACAGTCCTAACTGGGCTTCCTAGAAACCAGCCCAACAAGAGAACGCGTAGGCGCCCGAACTTCTATCGGGCGCTGAAGGCGCCGACGAGGAGCACTCCTTGCAAATAGTTCATGGATTGTTCGAAAAGAAGTTTGCGGGCTTGAAAAAAGCTTCACGAACTTGAAATAGTTTATGGATTCAAAAAAAAAATCTTGGGTTCACAAAAAAGTTCACGAATTTTTAAAAAGTCCGTAGATCTTGTAAGAAAAATATACATCATGTACAAGAGGAGGATTTGAAGGTAGTTTCCCAGCTACCTTCAACTGTATGGATGGATGTTTCTCCAAAAAAGGAACTGCATGGATGGATAGCTACCTGGTAATGACAGTGTTCTACAAAAAACCCAGTACCCATTCTCTAGAAAAAAAAAGAGCCAGTACTAACAGGGCAGCAAACAGAATATGTATAGGAAGGAGTACATCATACACGACTCGTCAAATAGACAAGATGCAGGCGCTGTATCTTAATGAAAACTACCTTCAACTCCATGTCAAGTTTCTTCCTCAATCGCAGGTGCAAGTACAGAGGAGCCCTATTCCTGATATAATATGTATTGTTCTTCTAGTAATCTAAGCTATATAATTACAATTATTCACAGTTGCTAGAACAACAAAGAGAAATGGAGCTCCATCTAGAGAGGGAGAGAGAGAGAGAGAGAGAGAGAGAGAGAGAGAGAGCTAGGATGGGCAGTTTATCCTTCAAAGAAGCCCTGCACTGTCGTTTCTAAAGTCTCTGTGGTATATATATATCCTGCTCCTGCTGAAGCTATCTGCAGACATGAACAAAACAGTCCTGAACTCAAACAGTTCTCAAGACACCTTCTGTAGTCTGGCAGAATGCAATCCTGTATACGATCTTTTAGTACCTGCCGTAGCACAACATCGGGAACCTTCCAAGTTTTCTGACGATCAAACGTCTTGTTGAATTTTGAAGTAAATGCAACCAGGGACCGGCGCTGACTGCCCCACCAACAGTTGGGGTTCAAACAAGACTTGGCTGGAGTGCAAGCCTCTTCTGTGTAACTATCAATCCACTTCCTGAAGAGTAGCTTGAACTCGTCATCATGCTGCTTAATAATCTGCGTATCTGATAGCAGCAAATCCAACAGACCGTCTGTCTTTGTATTGAAATGATATGCGTTGTTCAATAAGAAAATGTATTGCCGCTGCAGATCCGCACGGTATATGTTTGAATGTTCAGTGAGCACAGACTTCCAGCAAGTAATCACATCATACAGAAGATGGCCAAATGAGCTGGAGTTGTCACCAGGGGCTAGAGTGGATTGCACTAAATTTCTGTGGCTCCCGAAGGATTTCATTGAGCATATGAGGAAACATGTCATTGGATGAATGGCAACGTCATCCTGATGCTTTTCCATATTGGACTGTATGAAGTGCTTGATATGGCCAATTAACTTCCTGAAAGCTTCCCTCATGTTGCGTAAAATAATGGAAAAGAAATCACCAGATTCGCTGGAAGCAAACTTTTGAATAAGAGGAAGGACATCCATAAGTGCCTCATAGGCAAGCAGCATGGGACAAATATGAGTGGCAGACCACACTGTCTCACTAAGACAAACTGCAATGTCCAAGAGCTTCTTGATATGACACTTTGCAAACTGGTTGAAGTAGCCTATTTTTAATTCCTCAAATGGTCGACTCTGCTCACATAACTGCTGTTGCATTAAACAGAGGACTTGGGTATTGACTTTCAACATGGTGATCAATTCTTCTGTACACTCAGAAGGATCCTTGAAACTCTTTGTGCTTCTACGAAGAATCCATGGGATATCCGCTTCATAGAAAAAACTGTTACATAAGAAAGAGTGAGCTTAGAACTGCGAGTGAAATATTCTACCAATTTATGAAACATTTGAGGAACCAGTATTCTTGGCTAGTGTAGTCATCTTTTTGTGTCATCATGAACATTACATGTATATTAAAATTTTCAATAAAAAGAAAAAGTCTGCAGTCATAGATCAATTTTCAACATAAGATACATTAACCCGAATACACAACAATATTTCAAAACATTTTAAACAATAAGAGCAGGTTAATAGTATGTAAGCGACAATATTATCAACAGTCAACAGTCATGAACGTTGAGGTCAGGTCAAGAATAGATTATTTTAGGATTCAAAAGCACGTATAGCTGCAAGCCCATTTAAAGATGACAAACAAGGTTAGCAAATGCAGCAAAACAAAGCACGATTTTGTGTCTCATGAAACATATCCATACATGGATCCCTTAAACTTCAATTTGCAGGCCATATAATGCAAAAGAAAGAATATTCACCATCAGTATTTCCCCTCTGCTACATTGATGATAGCAATTTAATGTTGTCTGGCCTTAAATTTCTGCTTTACTGCTCCGAAAACATCTTAATATTTTTACTAATTGGAGGCACCGTTCGAGCTCACATTTAATCCTAGATAAATAACTTAAAATTCGTCCGATCTGCTGCGCAGCCCCAGTCTGACCGTCCATCAATCTCTACTTTAACCTTTTGCCTTCGGCAATTCCACACCTCTAGTCCTACCCCTAGACCTCGACAAGAATCTACCCTGCTGCCTACCTCTTTGTCCTCTGTTCCTACCCACCTACCCCTTCTTTCTCTGCCCTCTGCTCGCTGCTGCACCACATGTGTCTTCTTCTTCTCGAGTAACTAGACGACTTCATGGCCAAGCTCACATCCTCCTACAGAGAGTTCCTCGCTTCAAAATATCCACCCTTTCCATGTTCTCACCGTAGCCAGGCCCCAACGACTGGTCACTGGCGGTGTTGGGGCTTCCCCTGTACAGACAATCTGGTCTCTCTGCAACGTCCACCGAGCTCCTCACTACCATGATCCAGGGCCCATTTTCGTGCAGATCTAGGTATGCACCCTCTATCCAACTAAAGTTTTCTATTTTGAATGGCAAAATAAACTGGCTCTATTATTAATTAACTGGCGAACACTGTTTGTGAACCAGCATCTCATCTCTTAGTTTTTCACCAATCCGACTGCTACTGTGTAGTTTGTTATGTTTACATGACAAAGAAACTGAAGGTTTAGAAAATAATAATCTGAATGCTACTCTGTGCAATTCGCTATAATTAGAGGGCGATGATAAAATTCTTTATCAGTCCCACTACTACTCTATGCAATTAGTTATGCTTAGATACTAATGTAATATAAGTTGACACATTTCAAGGATGCGAAGACAATGACCATGCTCTTCTTTGCTTCAGAAAACATTGCTTAAAAAATGAGCATGCTTTCCTTCCCTTCACTCTTTGTTTCTGAAAGCTCCCAGACTGAGGAGAAGGGGTCACGTGCAGATGGTCATGCGCACACACCACACAGGTTATGGATTCGAGGTCCATGATGAAGAGTATTTTAGGAAAAGTTTCATGGTGCAGAAGGTGTGCTAGAGTTTAGATGCGGAGAGGTCTGCCACTCTGCATCCACCAGCATCCATACATCAGGATGGAGTTGAGGAAAAGGATCATTTATCAGGGATGGGATGGTAGCAGCATCTGCAGATAAAACAATCAACGGCTGCTTTGATGTGTAAGGAGCACACATGGCAGAACATGCAATGTGGTTTAGAAAGAAAAAAGACGCTTCTTTGGGGATAATATCCAGAAGAAAACGCAAGTGGTTTAAGTAACAAAAATATCAGCATTATGGCTTTAGTTGCCAAATTGAGACTCCAGAACAAACAAAAGAAAATGATGAATTTCATCTTACTGCTGGTACTTTCTTAAAGTGAGAACATAAATGCAATGGGTTTATGTGATGCAGCATACAGTCAGAAGGTGATGTCTCAATATGTCACATTGAAACAAGGTAAGAGCCCATAAATAATTGTATGTATCTGCTTTATAAAACATGCCAAACTGATCCAATGAGTCCTGTTAGTGTATGGCGCAATATCGCTTCTAGATAAATATGTCCATTTTTCACTATTATTCCACAATCTCTGTTATGTACAATGGGCATCATTGAGCTTTCCTTTACTTTTTACTAGTTCAACATACTGCAGGGAGCACAATATAACACTAACACTGGATGGAGCTATTAAATAGCTTGATGCCATGCAACAGTGCATGGCAAAACAACTATCTAAGGTATGCTTTGTGCTCATACTCTGAGTTTGAGATTCCTATGTAGTTTTCATTAAGAACTCTTCTACCATGATATTCAGTTCAAGTGCATTTTGATTTGGTCAAGTGAATTTAAGAGTTGAATCAACTACTTCACCTTCGATTCTTTTGTGGTTTAGTTGTAAATTTGTATTTAATGGAATCCTCAATGAAGCATTTCTTATGTTAGAGCAGGTCATTATTTTTTATCATAACACGTAATGCTATATAGTATTTACTAATATGAGGTTTCGAGCCTCCACATTTAGCCTAAGAGGGCAAAGCTAGGCTGAAATTTTGATTGTCATATCTAACCATGATGAATCTTCAGGCAGGCCCCACCTCCGATTGATTACGGCGGAGGAAGGTTGACAAGCCATCTCTGGCTCCCCTCGTTTCTCCCTATTGTGCAGGTCATGCACTTCTGCAGCAGCAACGGCCGACGTCAAGTTTGTAGCTTTGTGCAGCCACCCACATCAGCTTTTGTGGAGCGCACTCTATCGGGATCCAATACCAGTCTCTCCAGCGTCAGGTCTAGAATTATTTTGTGCAGCGCACTCTAAGCGCTCACCTGTTCCTGTCAGATCTAGAAGTATTTTGTATAGCACCCCATGTGTAACTTTGATCTGATAAGGTCGAGACAATATGAAGCTCATGGTGACCAAGTATTGTTTTGGGACAGAACGGTTTCAGAGCAATCACAGTGACAGTATGAAATATTGCTATATAAACAAATTTTAATGTACACTATTCCATGTCTGATATGACTGGGTAGAGAGACCATTTGTTATGGTATCATACTTGCAAACATTCAAGTGGTACTGGGCCTTTCCATTTCAAATAAAATCGATGTGTATGTTGCCCTGATTTTTATGTATAGGTCTGGCATGCAAGAGGATGAATCCAATAATCAATTAAGAACTGATGGTATCATACGCCGTGTACTATCTTTCTTCAATTCCATTCCACTAGGATAACATAGAATGAATATGTATCAAGAAACCATGTATTAGTCAACATACAAACATGGAGGTAACTCGTTACTCATGTTTGTTGAGTTGTTTGTTAGTACGTATAAGATGGTTCATATAGATGTTGGCTATTGCTACTCTGTCATGACATCTGAATAATGCTATATTTAAGAAAACAACCGCTTTGTTTGTTTAACTGTCATGACATCTGAATATTATTTGTACCCAACAGTTGTAGTTATATTGTCAAATACATTAACCGATGTGCTTTCTGTTTACTGCAGAACTTTGACTTACTGGGGAAGTGAACAAATGCAAGAACTATCCTTCCACATTTAAAATGACCTGGCAGCTATTAGGCGATCTTTAATTAACAATACAACAACATCACTCATTCACTCGTTGTCACATTTCATCTTAGATTGCCTGTCTATGTACATTATTAAATCATTACATGGCACTTTTTAGTTACCAACTTGGATCACTTCCCAGATGCATCTCGGCAGAGGAATAACCGAACATGAAACAGATAATTTGGTAGCCTTTTTTTCTGAGAGAGACAATTTGGTAGCTCATGTGTGGACATACTCTTACAACTATATGACAAATTTCTGCAGGATCATATACGGCTGAATTTAAGATTGGTGCCAACTAATCGAGGCACAAACTGTAATGTGGAATAATTAAACTTTAAGGAGTTTATATCCAAGTCTCTATATTCATCATTTGTGGAAATTGTCACAAACAATTTATTTCCAGAGGGGTTTAGATAATGCATCGTTTCATAGAACTAGCCCGTGAGTTGACATGATATACATGGGAGTTTCAAAGTAGGAGAAGACATACACGGTCACTAAAAGGACACTGACGTGTGGCCATAACGAGAATGGAGGACTTGGTGTTTCTAATTTTGGGACAAAAACGCAAGCACTCAACTGGGATATTTGATCTGTTAGGCCCCAGAGAAGCACAGCTGTTAAAATACTAAATCGACATACCATATTATGCATTGGGGAAAATGCACAAAAAGTGAATATATTCCTGCAGGAAACAGTGCATAACAAAATTCAAAACAGGGAACAATTTAACAAAAACAAATGGCCTTACTGAAGGAACAGGGGAAAGCGCATCTTGGGAATCTAGTCTATGTCAGGCTGTTACTCTTTGCTTCCAAGTTGTGTTGTATAATGGCGGTCCCAGTCTATTATATCTATGTACTCAATCTTCCCTGAACTTTTTACTAGCTGTCATTCCCAAACAAATTCAGTTCAAGAAACTCTACTCATGTCTGAATCATGACAAACGCCATGTTATTCCATCACGATGTCATAACAGTAAGAAGAAGAAAAATGAATAACAAAACAGAGTTGTGGATTTACCTGCACAATTTGTCTGAGTTGGCCGAGAAGGCTTGGAGTAGAATTTCCTTGTAGCCAGGCCCGAATGTCACTTCATAATTGTGGAAAATATCCTCTAGGAGGGTCATAGAGCCTGGTAAGATAAGCTGGACATGCCCAGGGTCCATGTGGGCATGTGACGGATAGTGAAGCTGCCGCACGTTGCTGCTGGTTGGAGTTGGATTGTCGCCGCCATCACTAGATGCATAACCGTCATAGCTGCTGCTTTGGGAGTGGCACCTGCTGAGGGAGAAACAGCAGACGATGGTGTCTGCCTGGATCGAGTAGGGGGTCTGCTCAATGGACCTTTGGAGGTTCTCGGTAGCAGCAAACACCTGGCCCTTGTCCCATAGCTTGAGCCTGCAAATTTCCTCTCCAGGACGTTGCATTGCAACAGCTAGCCTGGTTCACTGAGCTTTCGGATAACCAAGTAGAGCAAGAGAAAGAAGCGGCGGCGACGGTGGCGGCGGCGCAAGCAGCAGCAGCAGCTGCAGGCTGTGATCTTTGCAGCGTGGTAAGAGGGCAGCACCAAGAAGGGCCATACAAGGGCTAGTGAACACCAAGCAGCAGCAGCAGGGGCATCAGGATGCTGCTCCGTCGTCGCCCATGGGCAGCCCGCTGTGGCGCTGCCCGTACATGCGCCCCGGCGATCGATCCTCGCCGCAGCCCAGCGTGCCCTGAGACAGAAAATTCGGAGAAAATCTTACTATAAGAACAAGATGGATCAACCGACGCGACTAGCCCCGGAATGGCAGATCCGACGGATCCTGCGCTAGATTTGATAAGCGGGCGAGAGCTTCAGGTTCCAGACCCCCAAAGCTAGCCCAAAACCGAAAAATCCCCCCAAGAAAACCAGGAATGGTAGCGACGAACGGGGGGAGCGGGGAGTGAGGGCGGAACCGGTACCTCCAAATCGGTGCTCCCGGCCCCGTATCTGCGGGGCTGCGCCTCCGGGACGGAATCGCTCGCGACGGCGCTCCGAGACCGAGAGAGAGGAGGAGGAGGGGTGGTGCACCCACGGCGAGAAGGGAGCGAGGCGTGTGGGCGGCGGGCGATGGAATATATATATATATATATATATATATATATATATATATATACTCTATATTTCTATTTTTGAGTCCATATTTCTATTTTTGAGTCCTGGGAGCAGGCAATGGGGGGAGGGAGCAGCCAAGCCGGATGCGGTAGAGAGAACAGGAAGACAAGTAGGACACGACAGGGGCCCAGGAGTCAGTCAGTGGCTCGAAACGAGAGTGGGCGTTGTTTGCCTTTTGAGCGATATCTACGCCCTCCTTTTTCTGCGATCGAGCCGTGCGGGCCCCTTGGCCGTGACGCTCATGTCTGAAAACGGCATCACCGATGCCAATTCCTAAGTACGAAGCTAAAAACGCTACCTTCTGAACCGGACGCCGGAATCGCGAGCCGTCCCAACAATCGTGTTCGCGGGCACGAAACCTTTGGAACAAGACCAATATTGGGTGTGTTTTAATTTTTGGATTTTTTCTTGTACACGTACTGTTCACCAGTGGTCGTTGAGGCCATGGCAGTTGCTGTAGCTGCTGTAAACAAGTTCAGCACTCACCTAACCAGTTCGAGTTTTTGGCATGGAGGTGGTCATTCTTTTCTTCTTATTTCTGATTTAGCTCACAAGTGCTAGGGGTTTAAGATCTACCATCCGGCGACTTAGACTTGCTCTCTTACCCTGTGGTGATTCGGATCTTTGTCTTGCACTGCTTTGTCTTTGCTCATCTGCTATTATCTTGGGGTGATTACTCTACTTGTTTTAGTCTGGCACTTGCTCTTTTCTATATATAAAAAAAAGACACATTACCCTGGGTTTCGATCTCTGATCTAGTTACCCGTAGGTAACATGCTATCTTGGCCGTGAAAGAGCAAGTTCACACGTGATAAACTATGTTCGTGATTTCTGTGTTTATTTTCTACCATAAGTTCTCAAGGCACTGTTTTGCATTTACAGTACACAGACAAAAGAACAAGAGTAAGCATTTACAGTATACAGACAAAAGAACAAGAGCATTTACAGTACCCCAGGGATTTAGGGTTCACTCGGATCCAAGGTCATTGAAGGGCTTTGGCTCTGTTCCTTCCTTGCGAGAATTGTTCTTGCCATGAACTATGGTTGTCTGTTATCTTGGTCCAGAAGCTGAACATGTTGTACCTTGTCATTTGTAGTATTGGTCATCTTTTGCACTTGCTCCATAAAGTTTATCTTGTACAGTACCCATAGCCCAACCCTAATTTGAGCCATCTGTTTGTAGTTATTGCGAGGGGAGACATGTGCTGCACTTATGTCAGTAATCATGCACTAGTAGAAAGAAGGACTTTGATTGAGGCCTGGGTAAGGAAATTAATCCCGGTTCACTCACGAACCGGGACCAAAGGGTGCATCAGTCCCGGTTCGTGAGGCCAGGGCGTCGGCCGGGCCTCGGGGGCCATTGGTCCCGGTTCGTCTGACCCCTTTGGTCCCGGTTCCAGACACGAACCAGGACCAATGGGCCTCGCTCCTGGCCCAACACCTTTAGTCCCAGTTGGTGTCTGGAACCGGGACCAAATGTTGTCCTTTAGTCTCAGTTTTAGCCACCAACCGAGACTAAAGAGATCCCTATATATACCCCCGCCCCTGCCCGCGAACAGAGCCACTGCTCTGTTTTTTTGGCCGGTCGTGGGAGAGGTGTGTGTTGCTCTAGCTCACCTCCTATGCACATGATGTGTTCGATGAAATGCCCGAGCCACACTTAAGCTTTCTCCTCTCCAAGCTCCGTGTGCAAACTCCATTTTCCTCAAGATTTGTCTAGGTTTGGTGGTCCGTCCTATCCCGTCCCCGTCCTCACCGCCGTCGATCGCCCGCGCCGATCTCGTCGTCGACACCATCGTGATGAGCCCCTTGTTCTTATCTTCTTTCTAAAATAAAAAATTCTTCTATAATTTTCTTACTTTTATTATTGTTTGTTATTATATAGTGCGATGGTTTTGGTATCCGCACCCATCGGCCCTCGTCTTGTCTATGATTCGAATGTGATATATATATTATCTTTTATAACTATTTGTTTCATTTAGTGTTTATGACAATTATGCCGACCAATGTGACATAGATGTTTTTATCTAGGAGATATGTGAACCGGAAATTCCAACCGAGCCTCTTGTCGAGAGGTTAAATTTAGTTGAAAAAGAAAACAAATACTTGAAGAAAAATTGAAAAGAATTGAGAAGGAGAAGATGAAATTGGAGTTGCATGTTGCGGATGTCGTCGATGATCACAAGATCAAGATGGATGCAATGCGCTTGAAGATTAGAAAGATTAGAAAATATGCCATTCATATTGAGGCTTGGTACCATTATGCCATTGGATCAATTGTTACCTTAGTTGCGATTATGATCGCATTTGTTGTTGCATTGAAATGTTTTACATAGTTTCAATGTATGGTTTAATTAGATGCTCTAGAGGGCTATATGTTGTTCAATGAGAACTATGTATGAACTTTATGTATTTATTTTTTCAGTAATAACATTTGATCACTACTGTACTTTGGGTTTAATGTGATGATGAACTTTTATTAATTTGGTCACTTCTCTATTCATCATGTTCTGTAATGGTTTTTAACACACTTAATTATATATAATGCACGCAGTTGAACCGGCAATAGATGTACGGTGACAGACGCACCTCCGAGTACATTAAGGGCACAAAGAGAACCGTAAGAAAGACGGAAAGTTGAGAGCATCCGCTGACGGGTCGCAGTGGAGAAAAATCAAGAGAACGTGGGGGACTTTGCAGGTGACGCAAGAAACATATGGTTCGGTTTAAGTTAGTCTAGTAGAGCTAGTCTAGTAGAGGCATACTAGGAACAATATGTTTTGTCTATGTATTCACACATGTACTAAGTTTTCGGTTAATACAATTCTAGCATGAATAATAAACATTATATCATGAAATAAGGAAATAAATAAGAGCTTTATTATTGCCTCTAGGGCATATTTCCTTCAGTCTCCCACTTGCACTAGAGTCAATAATCTAGTTCACATCGCCATGTGGTTTAATACCAATAATTCACATCTGTATGTGATCAACACCCATAGTTCACATCGCCATGTGACCAACACCCAAAGGGTTTACTAGAGTCAATAATCTAGTTCACACCGCTATGTGATTAGCACCCAAAGAGTTGTGTGATCTGTTGGGGAACGCAGTAATTTAAAAAAAAATCCTACGATCACAC